ACCACGGGATAAATCATTATGTCACTTGTTCTTGATTTACATTACTTGCATGACATATTGTGGTTGAGGTGATTTCTAGTTTTTTTAGTCGATCTACTTGTCTGTGATGTTTCTACCACTTCTAGCTCTTGATCTGTGATTGTCATACCTACAGTAAGATAGGAAATTTCTCCAATCTAAGTTTTCGTTCACGGATTTTGAACTATGACTCAAAGTTGTCTGCAGGTGCGGCAGTGCTGCTGTTCTGGTCTGGTAGTGCCGCAGTCCGACAGTGCCGTAGGGTGAATTTGATAAAAGTTTAAGTGTTTGTTTTGATAGGCCTATTCACCCCCTCTAGGACAACCAGAGATCCTACAAGATTTGTGCGCCGGCAAGGTTGGAGGTGAAGGAGCAGTGAGCACGCAAGAGGCTGCCTTTGTCCGACGCTAGCAGGGTGAAGCAGAGCAAGGGAGCAGAGTGGGGAATGGATGAGAGGAAGGTGTGATAGGACCGTAGGAGTGTATATACAGTTCAATAAATTGGATGCCCCTGTACTAGGGCCCAGTGTCTAGGGAAGTAGGATGCCTCCAACACATCAATTGATACTTGGATCTACTATCATTTACCGTTCAATAAATTGAACACCAGGTCAATCACCTTGCATTTAGTTCAACAATAGTTGTACAATAATGATAGATTTTAGTCCGACACATCAATTGATACTTGGATGTACTAGCATTTACATTTCAATAAATTGAACACCTGGATAATCACCTTGCATTTAGTTTAACAATAGTTGTACAAAAGTGACAAATTTCAGTCCGATACATCATAAATTGATACTTGAATCTACTGCGGTGAACTAAGTAACTTGTCAATGAACATGCCAAGAACTAAGGTAAGTACAAAATAGGTGAAAGAAGAACAGGAAGCACATTTCTTTCTCAAAGGTACAAAATCTTACATCATCTTTGTTGGAACCCTAGCCATTTCTTCAATCTGTGGCATAATCTCTTCCTCCTCCTATAGATGTTCTTCATTTGTTGTAACATTGGCCTCCGCCTTCAACTTGCAAATCTTGTTACGTAAATCCAAAATCAAAGTCCTCAGAAATTTTCCATATTAGGGATCGTGCCACTTAAAGAACCCGCAATCTAAGTCGGGCTAGAAAAAAAACAAATTACCATAAGTATAGCAGGATTTCAGCATTTGCATTGCAAAAAAAATAGAATGAACAACAAAGAAATCGAGTTACATTATTTGTCCTGTAACATCTGTGGTACCGACATCCTGGGTTTCCATCACTCCACGAAATCCACCGAGGCGCCTTCAAGCCGCAGCGGCATAAAAGTGGTGGTTGGTATGCGTAGCGGTGGTTCTCGACATGGCACGGGATGGGCGGCCCCCTCCCATTGTAGCCACCTCCGCTGGAAGCCAGTGTTCGTCTCGCGACAGCGCCCTGAGATGGTGCCGACCACTGGGAGGAGTTAGAGCTAGATGCAGCCATGGAGCAGTCAAGGTTCAAAGTGTTGCACACTCTAAGTGAAGAAGTCGGCGTGCGGAAGGTCTAGCGACAATGAGGCATTGTTCCAAGGTACAACCTGCACAAACCTTGTTTTTGGGGGGGGGGGTGGGTGGGGGGCTGTGAATCGGAGGCGCGTAGCCGCGCCTTGTTGCTCGAAGTTTTGGAAATGACCAGCCTTTTCATTTGCATCAAATTAGTCGGTCCCGAGTCCTGAGCCTTAAATCTCCACCAGTTACATTTTTTAGACATGAAAAAGGAGTTAAATATGGTTCATAACTAATTAACTATAGAACACAATCTCACCAATCAACAGGTACAAACAAAATTAGAGATGAAGCGATGCTTTTGACAGCGGCACAAGCAAAACATCTTGCAGTTCTCCTTCAAAATTCTTGATTTCATCCTGTGTAAACTATAGTTTTTTTTGAGGTGCTGTGTTCCTTTTTGTTGCTCAGGTGATGTAACACCCTAAAATTTGCATAATTTTAAAATAGAAGAAAAATGATTTAATTATATATTTTGTGAGCATTTAAATTTAGGAAAACAATAACTTTGTTAAAATTAAAATCAAATATAGGTCTACATACATGTTTATGCATTCATGCTGCTGCATATTATTTTTGTATTATGTGGTTTGAAATCAGATTCCAAATTGAATTGAATTTGCATTCAAAATTGGTTTGGAAATTGGTTTGGAAATTGGTTTAGAAATGAAAAAGGAATTTTCTTCTCCCTCCTATACTTTCGGTCTGCTGGCCTGCTCCTCCGCGCCCGCGGCCTGTTCCGCTTCTCCATGCTGGTCCAGCTCGGCCTCCCTCCCGCGCCCCGCTCTCCTTCGCAAGCGCGGCCCAGTTCTACTCTTCCCTTCCCCGCGGCCCACTCAGCTCGGCCCAGTTCCGCGTCGTGCCGCGATTGCGTTCTCCTCTCCCTTTTCTCGCTGAATGCCCTGGCCCACATATCAGCATCACCTTCCTCCTCTCGCGCGTGACCAGGACAGACTCTGTCGTGCCGCCGTGTCCGACTCCGCTACGCCCTCGCGGTGGCGTGCTCCCCACGTCGCCCCGCCTCATAAAAGCTGAGCCTGCGCCTGCACCGCCTCCCTATCTCGCCTTAGAGCAAGTTTCCGCTCTCACCTAGAGCTCGTAGCCACCATAGCCCTAGCGCCGCCGCCGCCGTCAGGTTCAAGCTGCTGCCGCGTGCCATCGTCGGTTCCCCGCTCGAGATTTCGGTTTCGGTGAGTCCGCCATCACCCCCTCTTTCTCCTCGTGTCTTCGGTTCGTCAAACGGTGGTCCATGGGCTTTAAACCGAGAGCGTCGCCCGCTTCGGCAATGGTGCTGCCGCGTTGGTATTGTTCCGGCCGGCGAGTTCTATCTCTTACCCGCCCGATTCAATCCCGACCACCTGAATCTAATCCAACGGCCCTGATGCCATGATACCCCTTCGCCGGTCTATTTTGCAAAAGAGCCCTTACAACTATTCGGGTCTCAACCCGTCGTCCTCGTATTCTTTCAAAAGAGACCTGCCTTTGTTGCAAATTGTGGCTGCAGTCCTCGGCTAGATTTAAAACTCAGGTTTTATTTATTTTAATTCAAAAATCAAGTTCTACTTATTTACAGGATTGCCACTATCTTCTGTAGGCCATAAAATCTCCGTTTTAACTCCGATTTGATCCATTCAACTTGCGTTAGGTTCGTAATTCCATAATCTACATGTTCATACTACTGTTAAGTAGGTTTTCAACTTTTAAAATTCGATATTAGATTTAATCTATTATTTTACTTAAGGAAATCTTGTTTAATCCATAACTTCTTTGTTTTAACTCCGATTTTTGTGATCTTTGCGTCTGTGTGTTCGTAATGAGACATATATTCGTTTTAAAAACTTTTTATCTTGATTTTATGTTGATTGATGTATTGTTCTGATCTATAGTTTTTGTTTGCTATGCATGATTGCTTATGGATGCTTGTATGTTGCTGTGGTTATCGAGTATAGACGGGGAGCAATTCGTGGGAGGCAAGAGTACTACTTAGACGAGCAGGATCAGCAGGAGTATTTTGTTCAAGGCAAGTATAGCATGGGATTATCCTTGTTTTCTATCAACTTTAATACATTTAATTCATGTTGCATATGTCACCTTGACAGGAATTCCCTAGAATTGAACTTATACCTTGTCACCTACGGAATATGTATTGGATAGCTTTGCTAGTGCTCAAATAAACCATGATCTTATAACTTGACTAATGGTATATGCAATAAACTTTAAAATATGACTTTTTAGCAACTTGAAAACAAGGTACTGGAGTATTTAGCTACTTTTTAAATGCTTCAGATTCCTCTCTCTAAGAACTTATCTATAAGTGATCATCTAGGACTTACAATACAGTTGTGAGGGCTATATGGCTCTGGCTTTAGCTTAGTATGAGGACATTTTTCAGCTTGTTAGTGGTTACCTTTATTGGCGTAAGAATGGCTTGTCAAATCGGGTATAGGACAGCCTCTACTCTTATGTGTATAGCTGTGATGGAATTGTGCCATTCGACAGGGGATTCCTATATCTGTTTGCCGAGTGAATCTAATAGCCCTAACTTGTTAGACGAATCTTTGAAAGGCTTTATAGTGAACTCTGTCTGCTCACCTTGGAAGTGTTTTGGGAGTAATTAACCCGGGCATATGGATATCATGACTCATAGTGAAAGTGTACAACCTCTGCAGAGTGTAAAACTGGTATATCAGTCATGCTCACGGTCATGAGCAGCCTTAGACCCTTATGGAATAGATGATCACTAAGAATTATCCATTTATGCTATTCATTATTCATGTTTGCATTGATCATGTGTTTTGCTTTGCGAATTGAAACAATTTGTTGCTACTCTTATGCTAAAATTGTGACAACTAAAAGCTGAATGATGTTAAACCTGTGTCAAGCTTTTTGAGCCTCATGAACCCCATGTTACACTTGTTGAGTACCACATGTATTTACGCTTGTTTATTTTCAACATTTGGATAAAAATCCCTAATGGGTAATAGATGGCTATGGTAATGACGATTTCCCTGAGGATTACTAGACTTGTGGTCAACCAGTTGGCGTCCCTGTGCTATGGAGCTTCCGCGAGAGATCTTTTCTTTATACTTCCACTACATATATGTGAAGACTATGTTCTATTATTCGTGATGTAATAAACACTTGTGATGATACTATTCATAATTTGTCGGCTTATGCGTGTGACTGATCTCTGAGCGCACATAAGATTTTGCATCCCATTTTATCCTTAAAATCAGGTGTGACAGGTGAGGCTCCCTATATAGTGTTGTTTGTGGCCAGGTTAGGCCTGCCCTTTTTTCATATAATAATGAGCAGCTCTCCTGCCACTTCATTTATTTTTAAAAAATAACATAATCTCATGCCCATTCATTAAAAAAATATCAGTGAACTTGAGTAGGAAACCATTAGCACTAAGATCAAAGATCATCGTAATCTCACATGTAAACCCGAGACTAACCAAAATACCTTGACAAAACTATTTGATCATATAGCACCCCTACACCAAAGAAAGGCCCAAAAGCAATCACAAGGGCGATCCTTTTGTCCATTTTTTCTGTGGACAGAACAGAGACTGTAGGTGCTTCAACTGAGCCACAGAGTTTAGCAACTATAATCCCGCACAACTTTGGGTTCCCATCAAAGCTAGAACTTGGAAATGTACTAAGCTGGCCTCCACTCGGAATAGGCCCTTCCAGGTCATTATGAGAAACATTGAATTCAGAGAGGAAGTGCAAGTTGCTCAGTGCTGATGGGATTGCACCTGTTAAATGGTTGCTAGACAAGTCTAGCACTTGCAGATTTGTAAGCTTGCTGAGCTGCTGTGGAATCTCTCCTGACAAGCCGTTGAAGCTGAAAATGAGCTTCTGAAGCGATTTCAACTGAACAATCTCCTGCGGTATGACACCGGTTAAGTTATTGCAACCAAGATCAAGTGTTTTTTTTTAAAGTACTGGCTATCCGGTATTGGAATGAATGCGCTAAATAAAGAGGAAGCTCAAACTTAAATGCCCTCGAATCCATATGGGCTTTAGTCGTTTCTGTTCTTAGCATTGGCATCTCTGTCAAGTCTGTTGGTAACTCCCCTGTAAGGTTATTACGTGAGAGGTCCAGATGAAAAAGTGAATTTAAGTTTTTGATCCAGGCTGGTATTGACCCACTGAGCTGATTCCTGTTCAAGATGCCGAATTTTTTTTGCGAAATACTACTGTAGCATTTTGTTGTTATTTGACAAATAGTGTCCAATCATAGTCTAATTAGGCTTAAAAGATTCGTCTCGTGGATTTCGTCTAAACTGTGTAATTAGTTTTATTTTTTATTTATATTTAATGCTTCATACATGCGTCCAAAGATTCGATGTGACGGGGAATCTTGAAAAATTTGGCATTTTGGAGTGGAACTAAACAGGCCCCAAAAATAACATCTCCAGATTCTTGAGCTTTGATAGCCAGAGAGGTATATTCCCTGACAACGAGCAATCAGTTATGGAAAGAACCTGGAGATTCTGAAAACCATCAATTATTTCATCTTGTGGCATGGCCTCACCCTTGAAGCTGGTCCCGATAAGTAGGGTGGTGGATTCCTACAGTCCTTCAGGATATGAAGCGTATTAGTAATATTTGTAAAATTGTTGGCACCAAGTGATATGAAAACAAGAGATTTCAAATTGCTTATTCTCGGTGAAAGCTGCCCATGTAAGTTGTTGCTGGATAGCCGCAATGCAATTAGGTTGTTGCATGAGTATATGCTTTCTGGAATTGTGCCAGTGAGGTTGTTGTACAGAAGATCTAATGCTTGTAGATTGGGCAGGTTGAAGAAGTTGATTTTCTGAAGCTTTCCACTAAAGTTGTTGCTCTTGAGATCAATCATTATGATATTTGTGCAATTGCTTAGAGCTGATGGCAACTCCCCAGACATGTTATTGTTGTTCAAATGGAGCTCCAACAGCCTCTTGAGCTGGCCTATAGACTCTGGAATCTTGCCATTTAGCATATTACCTCCAAGATCAAGGTTAGCCAGATTTCTAAGCTTCAATATGTGTGCACCATTAAGTAATCCATGCAAACCATTGTTTGGGAAACAGAGGTGCTCTAATGATGTAGCGTTGAAGAACTCTTCTGAGAGGGATCCACTGAGGCGGTTGTGGCCATCCTTGACTATTCTAAGTTCAGAGCATTTACCTAAACCAGCTGGAAAGCTGCCACTGAATTGGTTGAAGGAAAGGTCAAGCACTGAAAAGGATGATGAGCTGATGCAGAAACAAGATGGTATACATCCTTGAAAACTATTGTTGCTTGCATTGATAGCAATAAGATTTCTTGTTTTCTCCCAAATTGTGGATGGGAATTCTCCTGTAAACATGTTGCTTGAGATGTTGAGTACTTGCAATGGATGCTCTGTGATTGACAGAAGAGGCTCTTGCAGGTTGCCACTGAGACGGTTGAAACTCACATCAAGAACAGTGATGTTGCCAGACGACATTATTAGTCCTGATGGCAGGCTACCAGACAGTGAGTTGTATGACAGATTGAGCCTCAACAAGTCATTGAGCTTGCTAAGGGACGGTGAGATGCTGCCTTCTAGGCTTCTAGATGCCAGAGAGATCTCAATAACTGCTTCACTTTCATTGCAGGTGATGCCTTCCCACTTGCAGCAGTCCGTGCCATCCTGCCAGGACATGGCGACACCATCTTCATGTGATAGTTCAGTAAGGAACTGGAGTAGGGAGCTCTTCTCCTGCTCATTGCATGAGGTGGCAGGATAGGCCATGGCGAGTAGCAGCACAATACCAAAGAAAGGCATGGCCAGCCTACTGACCTTGCTTTTGCATGAAGAATGGTGTTCTCTCTGCATGTTTTTTTTTTTTTTTTTTGTGGTGAGTTTTGGTCTGAGTAGCAAATGTATTTGCAAAGACCCTGTTTGCAAAAGGTGGCTAGCTTGGAGCTGTACTAAAGAATGATAAGTGAACTGAGGAGCAGGTAGGAAAACTATGACAAGTCAATTGACCAATCTCTGCACTTGGAGTATACTAGAAGCCATATATACTAATTCAGATACTTAAATTTGTCCCTGGATAATGATCACTGTCAGATCAGTAGTGTTTGATCTAGAACGGCACAGGATGCTCATTGCTTAACTGTCACATCACTGCTTTTGAGATGTAAGGGCCTGGCTTGGGGAGACGTGCTGTTGGTGACCCCAACAATGTGTGGTTTTGTAATGCAATTAGTTTGCTTACGACAACACTGTTTAGTTAATAGAACTACTGCTACATTTTGCTCTGGAGTTTCATGCCGACGATTCACTTAAGCTGCCTGCCTTGCATTTTGTGCATTAATATAATATAATCTAATAGAAGTTCCATCGTTTATATCGAGCATATTTGGTTGGTCAACCTAGATGTTAGTCTATGCGAGTGTCTTGTTAAAATTACCTTTTTATTTTGTCTTTTTATATAGAAAAATAAAAAATGATATTAGAATAATTTGCCAGTGTATGTCTGTTGGACTGTTGTGTTAAAAAAAATTGTTCGACTGGAAAAGGGACCATTCTGTTGTTGATTAGACAAGGTCTGTACTCTTTATTGTATTCATGTGCCTGTGCTCTATGCAATCGTTTCAATTTAATCAAGGTTTTCTAAAAATGATCGGATGCCCTTTTTGGATGTCTGCAGTTCTGCACAAAAAATCTGCACTCCGCGCTTACTAAATTATTTGAAAGATTGCCACTGACGACCAATATGCATTGTCAATTGATTAAACTAATAGTGATTATTGTTAGTGGTGAGATTAGCACTTGGATGCTATACTTGTGGCACATTAGAATACCTTTATTTCCAGGTGAAGGTCTTTATTTTCCAGGATTTTCAAGACTGAACGAAATTATGTGGTCACTGCAATTGGCGAACCAGGACAAGGTGGCAAACTGGCGATGTTGTCTTCTTCAACTGGTAAGCTGATTTCCTTCCCACTGTATTAGTTTCACTAGCTGTAGGGTTACAATGGGTGAGCAGTCAGGTTGATCGCGTGGCGAAATCAGCTTTTTCTTGTCTACTGCAGTCTGTTGCAAACCATCGAAGAGTTTCAAGCCAAAAGAAACTTGCCATAGTCTGAACTGGAACCAAAGAAACTGTTGGCCCAAAATTCATCACTAACTGTGCTTTTCTTCTGGCTCAATAAACCAGGTGTATTTGCACAGAGATGTTTACACTTGTAGTGATCAGAGTATTATATTAGTTAATATGTGAAAGGTATCTCAAGTCAAATGCTAGATCACACCTGACATTTGTGTTTTCCTCGACATACGCCAAACTAAATTACGGAAATAGTTTCTGCATTGCTCCGTCACTCTGCGTCCCACGAGCAGCCCAAAATTAAAAAAAAAAACCTCATTCCCATGTGCTTATCTGTCCGTCCCTCCCGAGCCCACGCCTCACTCCTACGTGCTTATCTGCCTAGCCCTAAAGTAGCGTGACTGCTCATCCGTCCGCTCCCTTCCCCAGCGCACGATCGTCGAGCTGTCCCGCCGTGCCCCCCCCCCCCTCGACGGGTGTGTCGCATGCCCTTGCTCCCTACTCCGCTCACCTGCGTGGTAGTCACCTACGTCGCTCGCTGCCTCACCGTTCATCCATCGCCCATCGCCGTTGGGCGCGTCACTGGCCCCACCATGACTGCTGGGGCACATGTGCCATGACGCCTGAGGTCTTCCCCGGCTAAGCCAAGGGCGCCCACGAGCATGGCTGGTGTTGGCAGTGCTTGCGCGTCGTGGCTCGTCGCTGGCTCACACCCCGATGGCCGGAATCGACTGGCCCGGCCTTCCCTCCCCTATGTTGCATATGTATGTTTCAAGTGTTTCAGACGTTTCGGATGTATTTTACAATTATTTTATCTTAATGTTGCAAAAGTAGATCGGGGGATGTTGCACATGTTGTATAGTTGCAAGTGTTTCAGAGGCATGTTGCAAGGATTTGTTCAAAATATTTTAGCTGTTTCCAGACATATGTTACAATCTTTTTTATCTGGATGTTACATATGTTTCACACATATATTGTAACAGTATGTTCCAAATATTTCAGTCTTATGTTGCAGCAAGTGATTTCATGTTGCAAGTTACAAATCTGGATGTTTCGTGTGTTTCACACATATGTTGTAAGTGCGTGTTATAAACGTTTTATCTACTTTCAGATGTATATTGCATTTAAATGTTTTCTAGTTGTAAGTGTTTTATATTGTACGGCGGAGGGCGAGCAGACTGGGTGCGCCGGGGGCTCGACGAACGGTAGTGCTATGGTCGAGGCGCTGGGGTGTGCTCGTCCTTGGCCGCTCATCCCGGCACCTGAGTGCTGCGCGCGCGGAGAGAGAAGAGGGGGTCAGGGGCGACTAGCGGGCACAGAGACAGGGTGAAGTGCGCGCTTGGGGCAGGATGAAGGCGGACGGGGAAGGGCTGCGCGGGCGTCCGGGCGCTAGCCACACCCACTAAATTAAGCCCACATTTGTAGCCCAGGCTTCGGACAGAGCTTCTTTTCTTATGGGCCACGTTGTAGCCCAGATCACATAAAACGGCCCAATATGTCGAAGCAAACACACGCGACGCAACGCCGGACGCGTATGCGCACACGCCGCAAGACAGCGACACGCGGCGGCGGCGTTGACCCGGCGCTGCGTCGGCCCGATGCCCCGACGGCTCGCCGCACGTCCCGGAGGACGGTCGCCGCAGTCTAGGTTGGAGGGTCATGTGAGACGGAGACGCGCTCCCGAGGTACGTCCTGCAAAACCCCTGTTGGGAAAAGCTCGAGGAGCATTTGCCTTGATTTATTGCCTCCCTGGCTCTCTCTCTCTCTCTCTCTCTCTCTCTCTCTCTCTCTCTCTCTCTCTCTCTGTAGCTGGTAGCTCTATGATTTGTAGCAACTTTATTCGGATGCTTATCATGATCAGTTGCGTAGTGCTATTATCCAGCGAGAAATTGGATGGTGAATGTATTAGTGGAATAGAAATTTACATAGATCGATGGAGTTCTCTGATGACAAATTTAGACTGCTTCAATTTAAGTGGCTTACATAGTTGCATGCCTTTCCAGTTTTCCCCAAATGGACTTATGGACCACACCATAACATAATTTTTTTCAAACTACATCATTACTATACGGAAAAATGTGTTGACTTTGTTTTTAAATGGCTATCCCGTTTCCATTAATTCTCATGACTCAAATTAATTTACATTCCAGTATATACCAGATAGTAACGACAACACAATTGAAAAGGAAGATACATCAGTGCTTGTGATCCGCAATCACAAAGTCCATGAAGTAGAGACCAACAATATAACCAAAAGAACTGGCACATGTACCAGAACAAAAGGGCAGCCATCAAAATAACTGAGACTCCAAAAGTAGCTAACTTCCTCTGGTTTGCATTTGGTCGCACTCTAGATTTCTTCCATCTTCACCATCAGAGTGTTGATCATCAGTATCAGGCAGGAAGAGAAGAGTGTTATAATCAGGGGAGGGTTGTTTGTCCTTGTGTTTTGTTTCCTCATTATTTTTTCCATAGTGTTTATCAGTTCCTCAACATATTCAGGAGCTAAATATGGTTCGTAATCGTAACTATACAAATCTCAATAGTTAGACGTTGCCAAACTTGAAGTCAACATTTTCGCTTGCACTATCTTGTTTAATGCGTTCTTTGAAGTGTCGTGTACCATGTTTAACAGCGTGGTGTTCTTGTACAAAAACAAAATTGATTGACCTCATTGATACATTTTCTTCACCATTTTTTTACTGCTTCAATTCAGGTCAGCTTATAAAGTTTTTTTAGTTCAGACCCATAAATTCCCTCCAATTCACAAGTTTCATATACACATAAAAAGGAATTACATATGGTGCACAGGTATATGAATCTTGTAACCTGAGTAGGAGCCAACTAGTGCAAAATTTATCATAAACCCACATGTAAACAGAGACTAGCCAAAATACCGTGACAAGACTATCCGATCATATAGCACCCCTACACCAAATAAAGCTCCAAAAGCAATCACAAAGGAGACCCTTTTGATCATTTTTTCTGTGGAGGGAACAGAGACCGGAGGTGCTTCAGCCAAGCCACAAAGTTTAGCAACCATAATTCCACACAACTTTGGGTCCCCATCAAAGCTAGAACTTGGAAATGTACTTACCTGTCCTACACTTGGAATAGGCCCTTCCAGGTCATTATGAGAAACATTGAATTTAGAGAGGAAGTGAAGGTTGTTCTGTGCCAATGGGATTGCACCTGTGAGATGGTTGCTTGACAAGTCTAACACTTGCAGATTTGTCAGGTTACCAAGCTGCTTCGGAATCTCTCTTGATAAGCTGTTGAAGCTGAAATTGAGTTTTGCAAGCAATTTCAACTGACCAATCTCCTGGGGGATCGCACCAGTGAAGTTATTGTGACTCAGATCCAGCGTTTTTGGGGAAGTACTGATTATTTGATACTGGAATGAATGGCCTAGATAAACCAGTAGCTCAAAGACTGAATGGTTTGCAGTAAGGTCTGTTGTTAGCATTGGCATCTCCATTAAGGCTATTGGTATTTCCCCTGCAAGGTTGTTATATGATAAGTCTAGATGGAAAAGTGAAGTTAAGTTTTTGATCCAGGCAGGTATTGGTCCACTGAGTTGATTCCTCTGCAGAAACATCTCCAAAGTTTTGAGCTTTGATAGCCAAAGAGGTATTTTCCCAGATAAGGAGCACTCAGATATGGAAAGAGCCCTAAGGTTCTGAAAACCATCTATCATTTCATCTTCTGGCATGGCCTCACCCTTGAAGTTGGCCCCAATAAATAGGGTGGTGAGACTCTTACAATTCTTGAGGATGTGAAGTATATTTGTGATGTTTGTAAACTTGTTGTCACCAATGGACAGGAAAATAAGAGACTTCAAATTGCTAATTCTCAATGAAAGCTGACCATGTAAGTTGTTGCCAGATAGCCACAATGCAATCAAGTAGGCAAGTAGCTGCATGAATAAATGATTTCTGGAATTGTGCCAGTTAAGTTGTTGTATAGAAGATCCAATGCTTTTAGATTGGGCAGGTTGAAAAAGTTCACTTTTTTGAAGCTCTCCGCTGAAGTTATTGTTCTTGAGGTCAATTGTTATGATATATGTGCAATTGCTCAGAGCTGATAGCAGCTCCCCAGTCATGTTGTTGTTATCCAAATGGAGCTCCTCTAGTCTCTTAAGCTGCCCTATAGAGTTTGGGATCTTGTCATTTAGTGTACTACCTCCAAGATCAAGGTTAACCAGATTTTTAAGCTTCATTAGGTGTGCACCATCAAGTAATCCATGCAAACTATTATCAGGAAAAGAGAGATACTGTAATGATGTAGCATTGAAGAGTTCATCTGGGAGGGACCCACTGAGGTTGTTGTGACCAGCCTTAAGTACTCTAAGTGCAGAACAATTATCAATACCAGGAGGGGTGCTGCCACTGAATTGGTTGTAAGAAAGGTCAAGCACTTCAAAGAAGGATGATGAGCTGATACAGAAAGAAGATGGTATCCATTCTTGAAAACTATTGTTGCTTGCATTGATCACACCCAGGTTCCTTGTATTCTCCCAAACTGTGGATGGAAATTCTCCTGTAAATAGGTTGCTTGAGATGTTCAGTGCTTGCAATGGCCGCTCAGGAATTGACGGAAGAGGCTCTTGCAGGACTCCACTGAGAAAGGTTGAAGCTCACATCCAGGACTGTGATGGTACCAGATGACATTAGTTCTGATGGCAGGCCACCAGAGAGTGAGTTGTACGACAGGTTGAGGCACAACAAGCCAGTAAGCTTGCCGAGGGACGGTGAGATGGTTCCTTCTAGGCTTCTAGAGGTCAGAGAGACCTCAATAACCGCTCCACTTGCATTGCATGTGACGCCTTCCCACTCACAGCAGTCCATGCTATCCCGCCAGGGCACAGTAACCCCATCTTCATGCGATAGCTCAGCAAGGAACTGGAGTAGCGAGGTCTTCTCCTGCTTATTGCATGAGGTGGCAGGAGAGGCCATGGAGAGAAGCAACACAAGAGGAAGAACAAAGAAAGCCATGGCCAGCCTAGAATGGGGTGTTCTCTGGATGCTTTTTCTCATGAAAAATCATAGTTTTGATCTGAGTAGCAATGGTATTTGGAAATAAATTGTTGCAGAAGGTGGCTAACTTGGATGCATGCTACCTGAGTGTATATATAATGTTGAAGATTGATAAGTAAGGACTAAGGAGTAGGTAGAGAAATAGGAACTCCAAGAAACATTGACCAAGCGTGGAAAACTGGTGCTTAAATTGGCTGCTGGGTATAGAGCACTGCTAGACCATTAGTGTTGGGTGGTCATTGGTTCATTGTCACATCACTGATTTTGAGATGTAAGGTGCTGATTGGCGGAGGTGCACTGTTGTTGACCCTGAAGTAAGCACAGAGCTTGGTGAGAATCATGTTGAAATAGCCCTTTTCTTTTATTCTTGTATAAAAACAATAAAATAAAATGATATTAGAATAATTTGTGGGTGTATAGTGCAGAATATTGGCCTACGAAAAGACGACATGTTCAACAGATAAGTGTCGCGGAAATGCGTATGTTGCGTTGGATTTGCGGTCATACAAGAAGGGATCGAGTTCGGAACGATGATATACGTGATAGATTAGGGGTAGCACCAATTGAAGAAAAGCTTGTCCAACACCGGTTGAGATGGTTTGGACATGTCCAACGGAGACCTCTAGAGGCACCGGTGCGTAGTGGAATCCTAAGCCAGGATAGTAACGTGAAGAGAGGCAGAGGAAGACCGAAGTTGACTTGGGTAGAGGCAATAAAAGGAGACTTGAAAGGATGGAATATACCCAAAGACTTAGCCTTAGATAGGAGTGCTTGGAAAACAACTATTCACGTGCCTGAACCTTGATTGCTTCTGCTGGGTTTCAACTCTAGTCTACCCCAACTTGTTTGTGACTTAAAGGTTTTTGTTGTTGTTGTTGTTGTTGTTGTTGAGAATAATTTGTGGGTGTACCTACCACTTCTGCTGGTTCCGATTCCTTTTTTCATGTTATGTTCTGTTATTTGTGTAGGTTTTGCACTGGATGGCTGAACTATTACTTGATGCACAAAAAAGTCATTTACATCTGTTTTGAATTTTATTGAAAGTTTGCCACTGATGATCTTTATTCACTGTCAATTGATTCAGGAAAAAGATGATGATTTAGGGGAGACTCGATCAAACTGGATCTTTCATGCAGTGATGACGATGATGACTGCAGTTGGTGAACAAGGACAAAAGTGGGCGATGCTGTCTTCTTGACCTGGTACGCTAATTTCCTGCCACTGTATTTCACTAGCTGTATAGTGTTGTAATCAAAGAGCAGGCAATCACGTGACTAAACCAGCTTTTCTGGAACATTGCAGTCCGTTGCCATCTATCAAAGTACCATGTCAAAACAAACTTACCAGGTTCTGAACAGGAACATGCGTGAGAAGTATCAACACCTCAGCTCAGCGCTCTCTGTGGCGTGTTTCACAATCTATTTGGTATGCCATTGAGAGAGAAGCCGCCCTTCTACCACGGCCATCAATGGAAGTCTTGGGTCAAAACCCACCACATCAACATTGCTTTTCTTCAGGCTTAATAAACCAGGTGTGTACATGGATGGTTTCATTTGGAGTAACCAAAGTAGTTAACTTGTGAGAGCTGGCTATTCACTTTTGACATTTGTGTATCCCTTGATAGGTGTATCCATCTGTTCTATATATCTTTGTAGCAAGGTCAATCCACCTGTCCACTCCATAGTCATGACTCATGATTCAGGATTAGGAATGATGAAGGGAATTTACATATAACTCTGGTAGTTGAGAAACAGCAATTTCCACTTTTCTACGTCATCGAAGTGAAGGAAATTTACACACAAGTCTGACCTATATTCCTAGCTACCGGGGCTCACCATTTCGTGTCAACGTGCAGGTGTTATCCCATGGTCTGATCAGTTCAGATCATATCATATCTCGTGCTGTTGTAACAGAGGCCTGTCTACGCTCTCCATACCCTTCATCGTGTACTGCATACACTGCAGGGTACTACCACATTATTATATCACCCTCCATGACAGTAAAAGCCTCATCAAGAGAAAAACGTGCAGCTGCAGCAGCAGGCCAGCAGCAGGCAGCAGCTCACAGTCACAGTCAACCATGCCATTGTCCAGCTCCACCCTCGCACTCGTCGTCTTGCTGCTGCTCTCCATGGCTTCTCGTGCCAGGCCATGCACTGGCTAGGAGAAGAGCTCCCTCGTCCGCTTCATCACGGGGCTCTCATGGGACGGCGGCCTTGCCAAGTCATCGTGGCGGAATAATAATGGCACGGCGGCCGACTGCTGCTCGTGGGAAGGCATCACCTGCGGTGGAGGCGGCGGGGTGGTCACTGAGGTCTCCTTGCCCGGTAGAGGACTCTGGGGGCCCATCTCGCCGGCCCTCGGTGACCTCACCGACCTGCGCCGCCTCAACCTCTCCCACAACTCGCTGTCCCGCGAGCTGCCACTGGAGCAGCTCCTGAAGTCGTCCTCTCCCAGTGGCTTAGTCGCCATCGACGTCAGCTTCAACCGCCTCGAGGAGAGCTGCGCGAGCTGCCATCATCTAATTCAACCTGTCTGTTGCAGGTACTGAACATCCCCAGCAACCAATTTACAGGGGAATTCCCGTCAGCCACGTGGCAGGCCATGGATGATCTGGTCGTGCTCAATGCCAGCAACAACAGCTTCCATGGAAGGATGCCTACTTCCTTCTGCATTAGCTCATCGTTGTCCTTCGCCATGCTTGACCTCTGCTACAACCAGTTCAGTGGACGCATCCCAGCTGGTCTAGGTAACTGCTCTGAGCTCAGAGTACTCAGGGCTGGGCACAACAGCTTCAGTGGGGCTCTCCCGGATGAACTCCTCAACGCTTCCTCGTTGGAGCACCTCTCTCTTCCCAACAATGGCTTGTATGGAAAGCTTGGTGCTGCACGTATAGCCAACCTCAGAAATCTGGCCCATCTTGATCTTGGAGGCAATGGGCTAGATGGAAAGATCCCAGACTCCATAGGTGAGCTCCGGAGACTCGAGGTGCTTCGTCTGGACCATAACAACATGTCCAGAGAGCTGCCACCAGCCTTGAGCAACTGCACAAATCTCATGACGGTTGACCTTAAGAACAACTATTTCAGCGGAGAGCTTACCAGGATCGAGTTCTCTGCCCTGACCAACCTGAAGACATTGGATCTTCTGTTCAACGGCTTCATCGGCAAGATCCCAGAAAGCATCTTCTCGTGCAGCAATCTGAGTGCACTGCCGCGGCTGACAACAAACTACACGTGCAGATTTCACCGGGGATAGTCAACCTCAAGTCTCTTGTTTTCCTATCACTTGCTTTCAACAATTTTACAAACATCACCAACACGCTCCATGTCCTCAAGGATTGTAAGAACCTCACCATCCTGCTTACTAATAGTAACTACAAGGGTGAAGCCATGCCAGAAGATGAAGCGATTGAAGGATTTCAGAATCTTCGGATTCTCTCCCTAGCTAGGTGCTCATTATCAGGGAAGATACCACTTTGGCTATCGAAGCTCAAGAATCTGAATGTGCTGTTTTTGCAAAATAATCAACTCAGTGGACCAATACCTGCCTGGATAAAGAGCTTAAAGTCGCTTTTCCATCTAGACATATCATACAACAAGCTTGCAGGGGAAATACCGACAGCGTTAATGGAGATGCCAATGCTAACAGCAGAAAATAAGGCGATCCATTTGGATCAAAGTATATTTCTGCTGATTGTTTACAGAGGTACATCATTTGAGTACCGGACAATCAGTGGTTTCCCAAATATACTGAATCTTGGCTATAACAACTTCACCGGAGTGATCCCTAAAGAGATTGGTCAGTTGAAATCACTCACTATACTCAATCTCAGCTCTAACAGCTTGTCTGGAGAGATTCCGGTGCAGCTCTGCAGCCTGGAAAATCTGCAGTGCTAGACTTGTCAAACAACCTTCTCACAGGTGCAATCCCATCAGACCTTAACAACCTTCACTTCCTCTCTACAATCAATGTTTCTAACAATGATTTAGAAGGGCCAATTCCGAGAGGAGGCCAGTTCAGTACATTCACAAATTCAAGCTTTCAAGGCAACCCAAAGTTGTGTGGAAATACTATTGACCGGCCTTGTGGTTCTGCTCAAGCGCCTCTGGTCTCTGCTCTGACCACTGAACAAAGAGACAGAAGGATAGCCTTTGTGATTGCTTTTTGTGCTTTCTTTGGTGTAGGGTGTTGTATGATCAAATAGTCTTGTCAAAGTATTTTGGCTAAGTCTGAGTTTACATAACTATTGTGCTATGTGTATATAACTATGTATAATGAGAGCGAGGACATCTTTTGCCTGATGAGTGTACTTTTTTATTTTTTTTCACCAGCTGTTCTTGACCGTGGAGGTTACTTATTTGGTTTGCAATTTTTTTCCAGTGTACTGTCTTGTATTTTCAGCATATATATTTCAAAGAAACACCACAATCAAATATGCATTCGCCGACAGTTCTTCATCCTAATTAACAGACTAGTGTGGCTTTGAATCTTCAAACTTTGCGTTATTGCAGGAAACATGATGAACCCCTGCATCTGCCATTATTTTAACAAACATTTCTGAAATCAGAATGATTTACATGGTATTTGCAACGTGACAACCAAATTAAGGGCATGCTTGGTTGACCATCCAAAATTTATCATACCACAGATTTGGCAAGCCAAAAGTTGGGCAAAAACATTGCCATGAATTTGGCAAGTCAAATGTGAGAGTTTGACAAATTTTGGTAGTAAATTAAATACTAGACAAAATCATGGCTTCTAAATCGTTAGCATGACAAATTTTAGAAGCGAACCAATTCGACCCTAAGCCCAAATATACACCCTGCCTAAATTGCTTCTCCTGCGGGCTACATCCATAGCCAGCCCACCTAGATGGCCCAATTTGCCAAAGCAACAGAATAATGAATACTCTCTCCATCCAATTTGCCAAAGCAACGGAATGATTTCTCATCAGTACCAATATAAATGTATCTAATTTCTCGAGTGACTAGATATATAGAAAATAATATCAATATTTATATCTCTAAATAAATTTATTTATAAATACTTCCTCCGTTCATAAGTCGTTTTGATTTTTTTTTCAATCATTTTACTATGTATCTAGACATATTATTATATCTAGATGTATAGCAAAATAGATGTATCAAAAAAGTCAAAGCGACTTATAATTTGGAATGGAAGGATGAGAGTACATTTTTACACTTAATCTGATGATACTTATTACTTATTACATACCATAAATTTTAATACTTATTTATATATGTTTATTAGTCAAACTAAAGAGAAGTATGATTTATTAAAAATGAAATAAAAGAGCGTACCCAGTGTAGAGAGCCTCCCGCTCTATGCAGGGCCTGAAAAAGGGTGTCAGTGGCGAGCCTTACCCTTACCTGTGCAATACGAGGAGGCCGCGATTCGAACCCGGGACCTTCCAGTCACAGACGACAAGACTCTACCGCTTGCACAGGCCCACCCTTTTCTTAAAAAATGAAATGTGCACCTATAATTTATATATGTTTATTTACCATTACTTATCTGTGCAGTGTTATTATACAGCAAAAAAAAAATTGAATGATGAACATATTTTCTCACGAAAATGATGAACACCCTTTTCTTAAAAAACCTAGTCACTCGAGACCGCTGTTTCCTGTTTCTTTTGATGCCAAATCGAGGACCGCTGCGCCGCCGGCGCTCGATCCGCAGCTCGGGGACGCGCGCCATTGGGATCACGTCCGCCTCCCCCGCATGCCATCGGCGAGCAAGTCTGGAGCCGCCGCGTGAGGGCGCGGCCTTCTTTGGCCGGTGTTGCTTTTTCTGCAGTTTGGGGGAGACTTCTCTGACTGGCGAGTGGCGACCCTCGATTTGTGTGCAGGGACGTCGAATCGAGGTCGAGGCCCAGCGGCTGCAAGCCCGAAGCTCGTCGGAGCCCGCATCCGCGCCCACAGCTCGCCGGTGCACCGCCTCTATTGCTCTTCCTACCATGTATACCTTCACATTGCAATTCTGCAGCGGAAAACATGAGCTACATGGGAATCTATCTAAATTTCCATCTAAGTTGAGACGTTGAGTCCTTTTAAAAAAAAAAAAGATTTCGACTGTTTCACGCAGCTTTTTCGTTTGCTCCAAATGGAACATGCTTCAGCCCATAAGTGAGAAGTCCACACATGCTAGGGTTCACAGATATGAGCAAAGGCTGCAAAGCTCGGTTGTTACAGGTGTTGCTAAACCTGACAGAAGGCAAGTATTACTAAGACTATTGTCAAATCCACATATGAAGTGAGACTAGCCAAAATACTTTGCCAAGACTAATTGGTCATAAAGTACCCCTACAACAAAGAAAGCCCCAAAAGCAATCACGAAGGCAACCCTTCGGTCTGATTGTTCTTTGGAGGGAGTGGAGAAGCGAGGAGGTGCTTCTGCCCAGCCACATAGCTGATTGACCATGACACCACACAGCTCTGGGTTCCCTGGAAGCTTGAATTTGGGAATGTGCTGAACTGGCCTCCAGTTGGGATTGGCCCTTTTAAGTCGTTGTTAGAAACATTGAATGCAGACAAAAAGTGCAGGGTGTTGAGATCCGACGGGGTTGCGCCTGTGAAATGGTTGCTAGACAAGTCAAGCACTTGCAGGTTTGACAGGTTGCAGAGCTGCTGTGGTATCTCCCCTGATAACATGTTGAAGCTAATGTTGAGCGTGGTCAGTGATTTCAGCTGACCAATCTCTTGGGGAATCACACCAGTGAAGTTATTCTGACCAAGATTCAGCACTTTTGGGATCCCACTTGTTTCCCGGACCTGAAGCGATCGACCTAAAGAAACAGGTAGCTCAAATACCGTAGGGACCAATTGGGTTGGAGCCCTTCCTGTCGTTAGCATTGGCAACTCCATTAGGGCAGTGACTCTAGGCTTTTGATCCAGGCAGGTATTGGTCCATTGAGCTGATTGTTATGCAATAACAATACCTTCAAATTTTTGAGCCTTGATATCCAATGAGGAAATTTTCCAGACAATGAGCACATATGCAATGTGAAAACCTGAAGATTCTGAAAACCATCAACCGTTTCATCTTGTGGCATGGCTTCACCTTTGAAGTTGGTCTCCAGATATAGGAAGGTAAGGTTCTTACAATCTCTGAGGACATGAAGTGTATTTGTTATATTTGTAAAATTGTTGGAGCCAATTGATAGGAAAATAAGGGACTTCAAGTTGCCCATTCTCGGCGAAAGCTGCCCATGGAAGTTGTTGTAGGACAGTCGCAGTGCAACCATATTGCTGCAAGAGTAGATGCTTCCTGGAATTGTGCCACTGAAGTTGTTATACAGAAGATCTAGCATTTCTAGATTGATCAGGGTGGAGAAGTTGACCTTGGTAAGTTCTCCACTGAAATAGTTGTTCTCGAGGATAATCGTTACGAGATTTGTACAGTTGCACAGAGTTGATGGTAGCTCCCCAGACATCATGTTGTAGTCCAAATGGAGCTGTTCCAACGTCTTGAGCAGACCTATGGAGTCTGGAATCTTGCCTGTGAAATTGTTCTCTCCAAGATCTAGAGTAACCAGATCACTGAGTTTGCCAATAGGTGAACCATCAAGTGTTCCTTGCAAACCGGCGTTACGAAGTGACAGGTGCTCCAATGAGGTAGCATTGAACAGTTCATCAGGGACAGTCCCACCTAGGTTATTGTGACCAGCCTTAAGCACTTTGAGATTAGAGCAGTTGCCGAGCACGAGGGGAATCGTTCCACTGAACTGATTGTACTGAAGCTCAAGAACGGTGATGGATGCCGAGGCAAGGCAGAAAGAAGATGGTACCTGCCCGCTAAAGCTGTTGTTGCTCACGTTGAGCGTGACCAGATTCTTCCACAGCTTCCATGTTCTTGATGGAAACTCTCCAGTAAACTGGTTGCTCGAGATGTTCAGCACCTGCAGTGGCCGGCCATGGGTGACTGAAGATGACAGCTCACCTAGCTCTCCCTCGAGGTAATTGAAACTGACGTCAATGGTGACTATGCTACCGGAGGACATGAGCTGCTCTAGTGGAAGTCCACCAGACAGCGCATTCCATGAAAGGTTGATGTGCAGCAACCCGGTGAGTTCGCCAAGGGCCGGCGAGATGCGCCCTTGGAGTCCCCTGCCGGGCAGGGAGACCTCTGTGACCACCCCGTCTCCGTTGCAGGTGATGCCTTTCCACAAGCAGCAGTCTGCTGTGTCGTTCCACCATGACGACATGGCAAGGCCGCTGTCAACTGAGAGCTCCACAATGAAGCGGAGGAGGGATCTCTTGTCCTGGTCAGGGCACGGAGTGGCATGAGAGGAGACAGAGGACAAGGAGAGCAGCAGCAGCATGCCGAGAGCAAGGCTGGAGAAACCCATGTCTGGCTACATGTTGTTGCTGCTTTTGCTTCCTGCTTTGTTGCTAACATGGGTGGCTTGCTCTGGCCTTTTTTTTTCCCATTCCACATGAAGAGTACGAGCATGGCACAAAAAAAGTCATCAGAGCATGAACACTTCTCACTGGACTAGCAAACACAACTTGCATTCTGCATCGCCTGTCAAGAAAGCTATGGCCTGCACATTGAAATAAGAACAAGTACGGCTGATTTCCTTGTCATTGTAGACTTTTTTTTGTTCGAGAGGAACATTGTAGACTTTTTTATTCTTGTATACACCCTTTTTTTTGGGTAGAGAACCTGAAGCTGCTGATAGTACTGTGTCTTTTTTTGGTAGAGAACCTTCCGCCAGCGCCTTGGCCAGTTGGCCCGGCTACTTAGCTATGCATTCGCCAGCTTTGTCGTGCAGCTACTGACCACCAGTGGCATGCAAAGCCTTGGTCTTGGTTTTGGTCTTTGTTTGGGTGTCGTACGGTGCTGCTCGTCTCAAACAGAGAGGAAATTGGTTTGTATCAATTGTAAGGAATACGTACATTGGAAATCAGTGAGATCCAACCGGCAACCGCTATCAGGAAGGGTCGTGCCTGCGTAGTGCTGAAGTCAGTGAGATTAAACTGTTATGTAGATTATCGGTAATGATGTGGGTAAGACGTCCGATCGTTCGGACGTCCACGTTGGTGGGCCTCGCCCGCCCGAACGGCTCAACACTATCAATTGCACGATAGTGGCGAATCTAGGATAAATCGCCGCTGGGGTCGCCCTAGACATAGAGCCACAACTATAGTTGATAATAATCTAACACCATGTATAAAAACAATAATATACTGCAAATAGTAAGCATTCATACAGGGATAGATGTAAAAAAGAAACTATTTACAATAGTGGTTACCTCTTATAATTTCACCCTGCAAGTACGATCAACCATATTCTGAAAACGAACTATGATATCATCATTTGGAATAGCATCAAGAAATTCTTGCTCGACGAACCAGATGGCACAATCATTCATAAATTCATCACCGATTCGGTTTTGTAGGTCTATCTTCACAATTTTCACTACTGCCAAACATTTACCGACCTTCTCACTATACTCAAGCCAATCATATTTTACGTACCATTTAGCTTGAAATCGACGTGGATGACCTGCTATGATTTTATGTGGATATTTAAAACCAGGTGGTGGTCTAAAAGGACCTCTAATCAAATACTTCCATCTTATCTCATTTTGTAGCTTTTCGCCTATGTAATCGGAAATTCTCCTTCTATCCGCTGGATCATACGGAAGCTCGTCAAAATTTACCTCATGCCGTGAGATCGGCAAAGAAATATGAGTTGTATTGTTGGTGTTTGTTGGATTTGCATCTCTTCTTGAAGTACCTCCATCAATATTCTCCCTTCCATCTCTTCTCGAGGTGCCTCCATCAACATTTTCATTATCACTTGCTGGGGTTAATTTCCTTTTCAAAAAGCGATCCATTGTGCTTTGATTGCCTATCAAATTATTCAATCAAAAAGTTAAACACGCAAGTAGATATTGAATGCACAATTAGCTGTACTTATGACTAAAAAGTCACTAATTTACTTAGGTGACATGTTTGCTGCAAGAGATAGAAGAAGGCTCGTGCCTCTCTAGTATCTGATCTGTTGGAACACGCAAGCAAAATAGCGAATCGCCTTTACCTCCCCTTCCGATTATATTATACATAAAACTGAAAAAGAAAAAAAAACGATAAGCTGCAAGCATCTCAACTTGTAGATTGGGGAATAAACAGGCAGGCCCTGTAAACAGGGATTCCGTACTTGAATAGGACCTAATCAACGGAGAGTCGCAGACTCCGACGTAGAGTATCGCCGCGCCGCCGGCGGCCGTCCGTCCTCGGCTCCTCGCCGACTCGCCAAGCGGAAGTTGCAAGGTCGGATGGAGGGAGAAAAATCATCGAATGTTTCTGCGGGCTGCGGCACGCCACCAGCACCGATTGCCCATTGGCGATTGCAACCTTCGGCCTTCGCCCTTGCAACATTGGGCTCTGTGGGCTCCAGTGCAGGCCTTTCATCTCACAAATTGGGCTGCTGTTAAACTTAGCTGTGTTGGGCTGCCGGGGTCAAAATATTTTTTTAATGGGGTCAACGCTGGTGAAAACGTATAGGTATAAGGTGAAACTAGCAAGTCGCAGGGTCAGCTGACCCCGACCGTCCACATAGATCCGCCCCACCAATGCACGGTCGCTCACGTTGCTCAAAAAAATAAAAAAAAATCTTCACTCACTTTTTCTCGAATCGCCGCTGCGCCCGCACTCCGCCTCGCTGCTGCCGCCTTTCCTCGCCGCTCGCTCCCTCCCACGACGCGCGTGCCTCCCGCGACGATTGGCTCCCCATTCCCGGGCCGTGCTCCATCCTGACGCCGCGTCGCGCACCTCATCTCCTCCCCCCCCCACACACACTACCCCCACCCTCGTCGTAGCCCGGGAGGGCGGCTCCAATGGGGTATGTGTCGTCGGCGGTGGCGAGGGTGCTAGAGCAGCCCACGGTGTCGGGGGTGATCTAGGAGACAACGCTCCTCGTAGGGCCCTTTGGCGGCTGCCTTCCTCAACCCCTTGCTTGGTTGGGCCTTGTCGTTGCCACTCCAGCGCCTCCCACCAGGGCGGCCTCCATCCACTCCCTGTCCTCCTCGCCGATCTACCACAGTTCACCACTGGTCATGGCCATGTGGCGATGCTGTGTTTCAAGTGTTTCTGAATGTTTTTCAGACATGTTGTAAGCCTATGTTTTAAGTGTTTCAGATGTATGTTTCAATTGTTTCATGCGGATGTTGCAAAAGTAGATCGGGATGTTGCATATGTTGTAATGGTTGTACACGAATGTTGTAAGTGTCTATCCCTAATGTTTCATCTGTTTTTTGTATACATATGTTGCAAGTGTTTCATACATGTCTCAATTGTTTCATCTATGTTCTTTTGTATGTTGCAAGTGTTGCATCTGGATGTTTCAAAAGTAGATCGGGATGTTGCACATATTGTAATGGTGTTACAACTATATGTCATAAATATTTCATATGTTTTAGATGTATGTTGCACATGTTTTATCTAGATGTTGTAAAAGTAGATATTGTGTTTGAATGTTATAGTTGGACCCACTTGCCACAGCCACCGGTTTGCAGCCGCCGGGCCCGCATGCATGCGTGTGGGAGCGGAGGGGCGCGAGGGGCAAGCGCGGAAAACGAGAGCGCGCAGATCGAGACGTGGCGCTCCCGCGTGGGCGCACACATGCACGGGAAACAGAGCAGCATGGGCCTCACGTGCGTACGGGCGGGCGCGCTGGCAGGCAAAGCGAGCGCGAGCGTCCAAACGCTAGCCAGGCGCTAGCAGTTCCGATAGATTACGGTCAGGTCTGAAGTCAATTTGGAATTGTCGTTGTTTCTGTACCCCATCATCAGTTGAAATTCATTGACACCACATTTGTCCATCATCAGCTAGCTTAACTCTCATACCCTAAGGGACTGCAACTTTTATGGACTTAATAATATCTTTTTAATACTCCTGTACTTGGATCTTCTTCCTCTTATTTGAAGATGTTACCACTTGGAAATCTATCATTATTTAACAACTTAGTGTTAACATTATCTAAAAAATGCTTACTGTTAACGTGTTACTGTTCATCACCAAAAGTAAACAATAAAATCAATCCACACTATCTATTTCTTTTTTTAAAAAAAAATATGTTACATTTTCAGCTTGTTCCCTCTCTCATCTCTTCTCTTAGTGGAAAAACCGGGGTTTCATGGGTGAAGCGGACGGATGCAGGGCGTTTGGTAAATGAAGTTGTTTTTTTTTTTTTTATCTTTGTGAATCTGCCAATAAGCGCTATCAAAGAGGCCCTAAGGGCAGAAGAAAGATGCTCTGGACCTACGGTAAAAGAGTCAGAGTTGTTTTTGACATACAAAGGCAAAGCTACGATTTGAGGCTCTCTGTGGCTCCAACTCCGGTGACGATGGTAGAGCACAGGTTTAGCCATGCCAATCGCGCCCTAATTAATTACTTGTATTGGTGTACCCAAAGGTAAATCCTGATCCCTTGAGTGCCTCCTCAACGATGCCATCCAGCCTTGCTGCCATCTCCGATGTCATGTGGTTCCTCCAGTTCCCCATGATCCCCTTCCTGAAGAAATGCTTGTTCTCGACGGCGTTTGTCATCACCAAGCCCTCCTGAACGCTGACGTAAGCTCCGGTCTTGTTCACCGCCAGGCTCCGCTGCTTCTCCAGGCTGCACAGCTCAAGGATGGAGCTCACCACGCCGGCGTCATCCTCCGCCGCAGAGAACGGGCACCCAACGACCAAGAGTCTCATCCAAAGCTTGCAAGAAGTAATTAGGAGCGCTCAATAAGATGATTACGTTAGACATCTCTGTTGCACTTGGTGTGTTACGAAGGTGGCTTGTTATATGTTGCGTGGATGGAGGATACGGGCATTTGTCCATGACAACGAGGGCAGAGGTAGTATTAGCCTAGTTTTTTTTATTATATATAATAATAGCCTAATAGTTAGCCAAAGCATTAGTTTTTATATTTGTTCTTCATAATATGATCATACAAATAAGGAAATATTAATTTAGTAATAGAAACTAATTTTAATATTTTTTAATCATCTAACATGATGTTTTATTAGGCTTAATATGTTTCTATTCATAAGCTAAAAAGCAATCATACTCCCTCTATCCTAAAAAGGATGTCACATGAGGTTTGAGACTAGACTAAATTAAACTTCCTTAAGTGCGGCTAGATTTATAAAAAAATATTATCAACATTTGTATTTCTAAATAGATTTATTATAAAAATATACTATATGGTTCATCTAATGATTAGTATCATATATACTAGTATTTCTTATATATTTGTCAAACATGAAATTTATTGACTCCTCGAAACATAAGAATGACATTCTTTTGGGATGAAGGGAGAAACTTTTAATTAAGAAAAAGAATTGACATTTAACTTATGATATCTGAATTCAAATTAAGATATGAACAATCCAATTCGAGCATATTCAAATTTGTATTTGTATCTATTTTAAAATATATATAAATGTGGAAAGCATGCTATCCAATTTAAATCTGACCGACTTCTATCCCTAGAGATGAGGAGAGTTGTTCTCTGCATAGTGGCAGGAAGCTCTGCTCAAGTAGTAGGTCGCATTAAGTCATCGACTCAATCATCCATTATTTCACAACAACCGTATGCTAAGCTATGGAAACCACCAACACATATAGCAAAGAAATGCTACACACAATAATCACACTAAGTGAAAAACACGATAATGGTAGTGAGACAAAAGTGATCGGCATTTTATGTGCCTATGCGTTCAGAGGCGGACCTCGAATTTTACAATAAGGTATTTCACACCAAAAATTTCATATGTTATTTGGTAAATCCATTTACCAATTCAATAAACAATTATAAAATTTACCTTGTGTTTCGGTATAAAAACATTACATAACATGATTGGTCCTGAATTCAAAGCTTAAGCTAGAGAATTTAACAAACCAAATACACGATGCATGAAGATTACTCTCTTTAAAAAAATAAAGATCACATACATGAGAGAGTGATAGGGGAGCGGCAATACCTATAAGAGATGGTTATAAAAAAAAATACCTATAAAAGATATAGAAAGATGATTTGCCTGAATGATTGCTAACTGTTAAAGGTGCTTCCTCCGAAGAATCTTCAATCAAAACTATGTTGTCGTGCGGCCATGCCGATGAGGCCCGATGACCCAGTGTGTCGATGTTGAGTTGTTGATATACCTCCTTCAGTCCTTCAAGTCTCGAGCCGACTCTCCTAGCGACCAGATGCTGCGAGGGCACCGAGCGGTGATAAGTGTAGGGCAATGCACCGAGCGGCGAGCCACGAGCACCGAGTTGCACATCAGCTTAGACGTTGACCACGTACAATATGATAGAACCGAATATCAGAGATAGCTCAAGATGCCTATAGAGACGGAAATAGGCATCTCTGAATTTGTGTCTGTGATGTGGACTACATTAATAACACGTTATTCTTTGTCTCTATTAGACTCATTAGATATGGTGTTTTGTTAATTCGTCGTCTCTAATGGTTCGTACCATAATCATAGATGAGTTTATCAAGCGCACATACGTCTCAAATGAGACCCATCCAAGATAGTTTACTTTTACACACGTCTCTAATGTGACGCTGTCTGAGACATGGATCATTAAACCCGGGTCACTACTGCCGGGTCAATTCACAATCCAGCGGTGATATCGTGTTGCCGCTGTCGAATCAAGCCACAACTCGGCATTGGCATATCATTGTCGGCTATTCCTCATATCACTACTGATCTATGATTCAGACCGGCAGTGACAGGAGTCTTCACTCCTGGATCAACAGGATCCTCAATCATTGTCCGTATCCTAGGCTTAACTCCACGGTGAAGCCAATTCCAGCACACATAGCAGTGATGGGTTGGTAGGGATTTTGTGTCTTACGGTAGCAAAGCTCACAATTTCCTGCATATTGTTCTATTAGAGCACTTTGTCAATTATCATCTAGTGGGATTCCCAAAGTTTCTATTTTCTACTTTGAAAGAATCAAAGGGGGGAAATTAATCACCAAGTAGGCTGTAAACAAAGCATAATATATAGCTGTTCAGGTCAACCAATCCTTACTTCGTCTCCTTGTGTCTAAAACAAATTCCCTGGAGTCATTATTGGTTTGTTGCGCGCAAGATAAGCAATGACGACACAGCATCAAAGGTCAGACCTCAGAGAAGATTATTTTGCGGTAACGATGTCATCGAGCTGTTAGCCAGCATCCTGATGATATACTGCCTAACTGCCGTGCCACTATAAACGAAGGGATGTCACTTCGCCCAGCTGCTGCATCCTGCATCTGCATAGTCACAACTCACAAACCATCAGAGGTCATCCCTGTTACCCTGTGTCAATGGCGTCTGCAGTGACCAGCAGGTAACTAAACTAGACTAGAAAGGCAAAGGCAACTACCATATCTCCATCTATGACTTTTGAGTGCATCTGATGTTGCTTCGCCATTAGCTTGGTGCATGCACGGATATGCATCCATTACAAACAGTTCTGCTGCGAAACAGATGGATGCATTTGGATTAACCAGAGTCAACTTTGATGTGCAGAGAAAAGGAGCAGGCCATCCCTACCATCGACGCTGACCAAGCGCATGCGTTGTTGAGCTCTGGCCATGGCTATGTGGATGTCAGGTATGCGTGTACTGTATATACTGAAGCTTCCATGGTCTTGCGATCAGCTGCGAATGAACTGACGGGGACGAAATGGGTCTTCTCCAGGATGCGGGAGGACTTCGACAAGGCGCATGCACCCGGTGCTCGGAATGTTCCCTACTACCTGTCAGTCACGCCGCAAGGTCAGTTTCTTGATTCTGCTTGCTCACTGACAGTGGGGGCCTGCGGGGATCGATTGGTGTGTTTTCTCCTTCTTTTTGTTTTTTTAGAAACTAAGTCAGTGATTGATTTCGACTTTAAACTTGCCTCTTTCACTCTGATCAAACATGTCCCTCCTCATGTGTGAGAATATGTGGTACCACGTTCTTTTATCCCTGATTATTCTACCTGTTCTCTTTGCTGATCACAAGGGAAGGAGAAAAATCCACACTTTGTAGAGGAAGTGGCTGCGTTCTGTGGGAAGGATGATGTCTTCATTGTGGTAGATTACTGTCTTCATCAATCATATATACTCATAACTACACTAGATTAGTAGCTCTAAGCCTCTAACTAGAATCAGGTAGCATGGCTAGTTAACTGAATCTAGTAATGCAATGCCTGCATACGCATTACCTCATCATTTATTCATTTTATTATCAGTGTAAAAGAAGTTACTTCATATTTACGTAGGCTTGCAACACGGGGAACAGATCCAGATTCGCGACTGCAGACCTTCTAAACGCGGTAAATACAGGCCATCTGAGCTATCAATCTAGTAGGACAAGCCGTGTCTTATAACTGAGGGTCACACACTCACACTTGGATGTTCAGGGGTTCAAGAACGTGAGGAACCTGCAAGGTGGCTACCGCTCCTTTCTCCAGAGTGCAAATCAGCAGCGACCTCAACAGCAGTAACCATATTTAATAAAAAAAACAGCAGTAACCATCAATGGTTAATTGAGCTTGCACTCCCTGAAAGTGGCTTTGTGTGCTATAATTAGAGGGATGTGGATAGCATGGAAAACCCCTAGTTCAGCGCTGGAGAACGTTCTTTCAAACGTGCTGTGACGCTCTATAATTCCTGTCTCTTTCTTGTTTGTTTCTCCTCTGTTCCATTTCCTTGGTATGCCAGGGATTTATTGTTGCAATCTGTGTTTTGTTCCATTTCCTGTGTTCGCGTGCTAAAGTTGAACGACACATTTGTCATTTATGAACATTCATGAAGTACTCCAGGAAATGTTTCAGGTTGCTATGTGCTACATATATTTTGCAAGGTATATTCAACTGTACAAGCAAGTCTGTAGCATTACACGGAATTGGATTACATGATGCCCTTTTGACATATCAATTACGTACTGTGCCTGGCAAAACTATGTAACAACATGATTGTTTACCATCATAACCTGACATACAAAGCAAAGTGAATGCCAGAGTAGCTGTTTTTGTTCTGGGAGTGATCTGTACTTGACTGGTTCCTCTGGTCCAGAGCGGCCAGGTTGAATCACAGTGGCCTGTTGTCTCAAAACTATCTTGAGTATACTTGCGAGTTGGCACGGGAAGAGATCTTTAATTTACAGACACAAAGGTTCATGAGCTCTTTCATAGCACCTCCTTTTCCAGTTTCAACACGGCCATGAATGCTTCTTGAGGAACATCAACCCTTCCTATTGCCTTCATCCTTTTCTTTCCTTCAGCCTGTTTTCAAATATCCAGTGACCATATTATCAGATCACGAAGGGATTCTGGTGAACTGAGCTACTAGTCATTCATCGTGTTCTATGAAAACTTAAGTCAATCATTTGTCAGGATAACCATTCTACTACTTATGTATACACAAAATGATATTTTTCAAAGTTCTTTCTTTGGTCAAACAACGTTTTTTTCTAAGAATACCTGTTTCTTCAGCAACTTCTTTTTCCTTGTTATATCACCACCTGCAAGTTAAAAAAAACATAGTATTCTGAATAAGCTTTGTAAGTCTGTAAGGCAAGAATATAGAACACAAGTGTATTAACTGCTATTTGTATGAGATAAGTGTGCACATGATCATAAAGTGTGAGACAGAGATATTCCATTAGCTTTACAAATGCTTCCAAAGTGCAGGTTATAGTGTTATGTTTACCATAGCATTTTGATAGGACATCCTTCCTGATGGCAGACAGGGCTTCGCTCGCAATGACCTTTGTGCCAATACATGCCTGTCAATGTTCTCATTAGCATCTGATTGCTATTGGAAAATGGGATTGTGAACTGGAGTTTTTATCACCGCAGGAAAAGGATTGGTACAAGTTGTTTATGCTAATTTTCTAGCATAGGACGCTTGGCTTAAATAAAGCCAAGGAAGGTCTCAAAAGAAAATATGAAGCAGGGGTGGTGCCAATCACTTCTTTAGTTTGTTATTACTGAAAAAAAATTGCAAGATCAAATTCAATGCTCCCTCTAGATATAGCTTGCAAAAAGTAGGCTGAAACATTCGGAAACCCATGACCGCAAATTAAGGCATTTCCACCCCCATAGATGGTAGCACACAAAGATGTGCATGTGTTCCACATAGTATCCTCTCATTAAATAACTCTTTATCAAGATTCTCTCCGACCCTTATTATCTAACATCCCTTCACGCTGGTATGAAAGGTACTCTTAACTCTCTCATAACTGCCTGCCTGATCTTGTTATGTACATAAAAGATAAAAGAAATCTGAGAGAACAAGACAGACAAATCTCACTTGAATAGGAACTCTAAACATTTGCCGAGGTATCAGTTCCTTGAGTTTGTGAGTAAGTGCCCTGCCAACAGCATATGCCTAGAAAAAAATATTTCACCAATCAGATTGCCTCGAGAAGCTATTCCATAATAACTATAGGTCTATGGATACAAGTTACTTTTTCGAAAATGAAATTAGCACTTGACCAGAGAGAAAAAAGCTCAAACTAATGGTTACATCTGAGTACAAAGGAAAGATAATATGTGATAAATCATTAATTAGCACAATTGTATCATTGACAATAAGTATGATCAAATACTCAGACACAAGTAGATTCCTGAAATGTATCTATTGTTTACAGTTTGCCATAAGTACAGAATCAATGTATTTACATTGATTCTGTACTTATGGCAAACTGTAAACAATAGATACATTTGTGTCTGTGGTCTGGATAGATGTTTATCTTTTTTTTTGAGACATAAATACAGCAGGGGAGCCCCCCCACTGTATGGATAGATGTTTATCACGTCATAAATGAATTGTATCATACTATTTCTATTGATCGTTTGGCCTTGGATAAGAAACAATGGTATATGTTCACATCGCTGTTATTTCTGAACTGCATAAGTTATATGTGTTGTTGTTGTATAAGTTATATGTGTAGATAACAACTAAAATGAAGCACCTTATCTCTGTGTACAATTGTTGACAACGCCTCGACAGGATCCCCGTTGATTTGTATATCTAGCTTTACTAGTTGACTTTCTCTGTACCTGTAGAGAAACATATCTCAGCTAACTGTTTCACAAAGGACTACATGGGCGCTACCAAAAGGCTGAAACTGCAGAGAAACAAGAGAATAGCAACAATGCGTACCCGATAAGTGAATATTCCATGCTAGCATATCCTTTACTTCGTGATTTCAGTTGATCAAAGAAATCTCCAACCATCTGCATAGTGCATACACAAATGTCCACTAAGCAATAGGAATTTTTTTTCTTCAACTCCTTCATACATTCTACAGGTATATTAGCATCAATGAAATACAACAGCTGAAGGAATATGTTTTGCAAGATACATCATTGTTTAATAATGTATGATAGAATGAAACAGCGGAAGTATCTTTTTCATAGCCAGGCTCAAGAGAAACAAACATTACAGAAGCAGCAAAGAGATGCAACATGCATGCTTAATGCTGAGACATATAATGCAGTATCAGGTTGCTGCGGGATGAACGTAACAGTGATGATGATGCATTTCGTATAGTCATTTATGGCGTAGAAATATTTCAGACAGACTAAAAACTGTTGAAAATAACTATATCGTCTGTTTCTGAAACACTTTGTTCTGTATATTTTGCAGATGCATTAAGGAATGCATCTAATTACTTCTACAAGCTTTTTTAATCTTCAATTTACTGCAAAGAAAATAGCCCCGTTTCACACCTCTGCTAGTGGTAGCTCATAAATAAGTTTGGCCCTGCTTTCTGTGATGAAGTTCATTTCCTTGAATTCACCTCTTCTATCTTGAGCCAGCTCCATTATTGAACCAATATAATCCTTCGGTGTAAGCATTTCAATCTGTAAAGGGGAAAAAGGAAGACACCAAAAACAATAATCAGGCCTGTGCAGGATACTACTCCTAAAGTTCAGTAATACAGATACAACCTTCACATATGGTTCTTCTATAGACCTCCGCTTCCCGGGCTCCGGAAGCAAGGATGGATTCGAACATTCAACCTATATGACATCTGTAAGCAATCATTTTTTTTCACATGCAAATAAAACTGACTTGTTTCTGGTTAAGAAAAGTCAGATATTTTTGTCCCAATGCAAATTTACGCACACTTGGATGGTTTAGCTTAGTTGCTCGCAACATGCACCATATAAGAACTTTTGGTAAAAACACTAGGAGTGGCTGCAAATGCTATAACATGTCATCTGAAATGATAACAGTTGGTCTCTTAAGACCTACATTTCCCCCCTGACTGTACCAGTGACTGTTTTAATAGACAACAAACTTTTCCTGTAGTGCGCAAGTAGAAACTTAGGCACCTCTGTGCAGTACCACTATTTCATTAGTTGTGCAAGTAACAAGTACAGGTGGTTTCCATAAATTAATTCTCCATAGTGAAGTTCCTCAAATATATCCATATTTCCTTAGTGTGACAACAGGACGTCCTTTAATGAGGATTTAAGATGGAAATATGGAATATGTCGTGTTTAAGGTCATTTGAACAGACTTGGCAAAACTTGTTGATTATATGATTTTGGATACAGCTTAAGTTCTTGCACCTCCAACAGATGTACTGATTTGAACAATAGGAGTTATGGCCATATAACTATTATTCTGTTAAGCAATGTTGATTCCAGGAAAAGACAAGAGAGTTCAAGATCATAAAAGACTTACGGTTTCACCATCAGCACAGTTCACACGGTATACCACACTTGGTGCAGTAATTATTAAGTTCAAGTTGTACTCCCTCTCGAGCCTTTCCTGAAAATAGAAAAAACATATTGTAGAAATTTCAAGCCATAGTGGTTTTAATATGAACTACACTGCCATGAACTAAGTAGATTGTAAAAACCTGAACAATTTCCATATGGAGAAGACCAAGGAATCCACATCTGAAGCCAAAGCCCATGGCACTAGAAGATTCCGGTTCAAACTGCATTAATGGCATGGACTTAGAGAAAATGAAGTATCATACAAAATACCCATGCATAAAGAACATTCAATATTACAGAATCCAAATGAGAACAAACTTGTTTTGTTTTTGTTATTATATACGTCTTTTATCAGTCACTATTATGTATGGCTTTAATGACATTGCTTTTACTGCATACATTTTTGTAAAATGAGATGAAGTACTGTGGTGTTTCTTGGCGGTTAGAATGGAACATTGGTCTGATATTCATAACTGAAGGTACTGGATTTGAATTTATTGATCAGCATTCTTGTTCATATTTTAACACAAAAATTGGTAAACCATCAGGAGACGACGAGTTTGTCAATTCTATGTTGTTTTTACATTTAATTGGGTATATTGAGTAAAACTATCTTCATATTCAAGTATATCAATAATTCAATATACTGATCTCATGCATCATGTATTCATGTGGCTACTTGTAAACTGAAGACACTGTGGTTAAATTAGTTGTTAGTGGAACTGTTTTGGGGTTTGCCATACCCTTTCCGTTCCAAATTATAGTTCACTTTAGCATTGTCCTAAGTCAAGCTTCTCTAACTTTGATCAAGTTTTTAGAAAAATATATCAACATCTACAGATTTAAACAAATGCACAATCAAGGTATATTTCATGGAAAATTTAATGAAACCAATTTGATATTGTAGATGTTGATACATTTTTCTATAAACTTGGTCAAAATTAGGACAAAGCCAGAGTAGGCTATAATTTGGAATGGAGGGAGTATATTTCATGATATCTGAGCTTGTGCCAACACCATTACGTATGCAAGAATCTTGACGCTGTTGCATTAAGATTTCACTTTATAAACTATATTTGATCAATTTCATTTTAAGTTCACAATATCCATAATTTGGGTCAAGGAAAATATGTGCTAAACTTCAAATGCTAGAAATGAACAAAATGTCTTGACAATACATTCATGACAATATGATGATATAGTTAGGCCAGGAAACCCACCTTTAGGGCAGCATCATTTAGCTGAAGTTTTTCCAGCGCTTCCCGCAACTCCTCAAACCTATTGACAAATACAATGTTTCATACAACTATACCATAACAGAAAAGAACAGGACTCAATATAAAGGGAAGATACAGTACTGATCAGCATCTATAGGGAACAAGCCACAAAAAACCATCGGAGTGGCTTGAGAATATCCTGGCAAAGCATGATCTGCTTTTTTTGAATAATGAGTAATCGTATCACCAACCCTGGCATCTGCTACTGATCTTATAGAAGCAGAGAGATAACCGACCTGTCAAAGAGTGGGCAACTGATCAAGATACAAAGAGAATGATTTAAATGAATGCACGATGAAGATTGAAGAAAAACTTCTGATTGCTGATAATTCTATACAGTTATAAGTTTATAAAGGCCTGGTTTAATTGTTCCAATTGCAACAGTTAATTTTGTAATCTGGTATGGTTAGTACATGGTAACTGTGTTATTTATGAGGAATCATAGCTAACAATAGTTGAAAATAATATGTTAGAGAAAAAAATAGTTGGCTGAAATAGTCGAATAGGCAGTTGAACAATATCCTTGAGGAAATGAAATCAGAGAGCCAAAAAATTAATATCTTCTTCAAAGGATTATAATTGATGTAAGACATCACAGCATAAAGGTTACCTCGCCAGCATATAGTTCGTCAACTTGCATCTGATTTGGGGATAGTACACCAATTTCATCAGCAACATATTCCTGTTAAATGGACAACAAGCTTAGCATGACGTTTTACCCACGGTATACACAATGATTATGAAGATTGAAGAAGATGGGGTAGAATGGAAACTAATTTAGATGATGAGAAATACCTAAAGTGGCATACAAATAAATTACTAGGAGGGAGCTTTGGATGGTGTTTTACCAGTGGTACTTTAGGAAGTAATTTTTCAAATAAAAAGTATTGCAGCAATAGAAAGCACATTAAGTTTCCAGGTAAGGTTTATGTTTGGTTTTGATTACCTTTCCATTGGCCATAAAACATATCTTGTCCCCTTTCTTTATACTGCCGTCAATAACACGGAAGTACACAATTACACCTCTGTATGGATCGTAATAGCTGCAACCAGAAAGACAACATATAACAATAGCTCAGATACATGTAGAGCATTAAATAGCCAATTCTAAAGAGCTCAAGTACTTAAAGGGAACCTGTCAAATATAAGAGCCCTGAGAGGATCTTTTGCCGTATCTTTCGGTGGGGGGATTTTGGTCACAAGGGCATCTAGTATTTCAGTGATGCCTATGCCTTCCTACACAAAAGAACAACAAAAAAGAAGTTAATATGAAGATTATATCTGTTCATAAAGGGGGCACGATATGTTCTATCTGCAGCTACCAGCTTATGTAAGTAAATCTGTAGAAAAAAAAGGAAAAGGAAACAAAAACTAACCTTTGCTGAACACCGAACTGCATCACGGCAGTCCAATCCAATTATCTGGTAACAATAAAGACAAGGATGAATTTTTAGTTCTAAGAAAAAAATGGGGCATAACTTTTAAGTAGGAAATGGAAGGAACTGTTGGCCAAAGAACGTAGAGGACAAGTCTAAGATAGGGGTGGTGCTTTCGGAAATACCTCTTCAATTTCCTGTGCGACACGGTCAGGTTCAGCACCAGGAAGATCTATTTTATTTAGAACCTAAACTAGAGGACAAAGTCATTGCCAAACAGAAAACAAAAGGAGAATAGATAGCTGGATATCATAGTTTTTTTTTTTTTTTGCTATTTCAGTTTAATAAGGGAAATCAAACAATTAAAGCTTAAATCTATTTTTTTTTTACGAAGCAACACGAGCAAACTTAAGCAAGTTGTTATCCATGTTACAGAATGATTTTCACATTAGCTGTCATCATTAGTTCATATATTACTCAGTTTGCATCCAGATCAAATAAGGTAAAAGGGCAATAGCAAGAAGGAAAACTAGTATTTCAAAGACTCGGATGAAGTCCAATGTATAGGGATTTGGCAATGAAATGAAAACAATTGTAAAAAATGAAAATAGGAACAACAGTTTGTACACAGGAAATGGGGTAGAACAAACCGGTATGATTTCGAGGTTGTTTTCCAATGCAAGATATACATTCGCTAACGTCTGAGCTTCAACACCCTGCATGAAGCCATCATACATCTTTCACTTTGCAGCAAATGTGTATTGGAAGCCAGCGAAATCATTGGCTAGATTCTGTGCATTGGCATGCAGAAGACAAATATATTCAGATATATAGCTATTGAAACTTACAGGAAGGAAATATATATTGCACCTGAGAAGCGTCAACAACAAGAAGTGCGCCCTCACAGGCAGCAAGAGAGCGGGAAACCTAGCATCCAATCAGATAGTTCCATAGATGTTTAAATCAACTCCCAATATTGAAAATGGAAGTATAAAATTTACCATAGTACTACCATATACATTCCAAAAGGTTATAGTTTTGTATATGGGTACCTCATATGAGAAATCGACATGCCCTGGTGTATCAATTAAATTCAGGCAATAAGGCTCATTATTCATGACGTAGCGCATCCGAGCCGCCTAAAAAACAAATTATTAGAACAGGTGCAAACATATCAAAACACCAAATACGAATAATGTAATGGGAGAACTCATCCAGTAAGAGCTATGTACAAGCAAATGGCAGCTCAAACTAACAAAAACACAAGAAAACTGTCCCTATATAGCAACTAGTAATTTCAAGAGTTTTCCCCGATTGGTCAAGATAGAGATGGTTAAATGATCGTAATTAACCGGTTAAAGGTTATAGTTTTGTACATGGGTACCTGCAATTTGATAGTGATCCCTCTCTCCCTCTCCAGGTCCATATTATCCAGAAACTGCTCCTTCATCTCCCTCTTCTGCACCGTGCCGGTAAGCTCTAGCAACTTATCTGCCAGCGTGGACTTGCCGTGGTCGATGTGCGCGATGATGCAGAAGTTCCTGATATTCGAAATGGGCACCTAGCAGGACAAACGCGCTGAATCAACACGCTAACGAGCACCAGCACGGCGCGATAGTAACAGTAACATTGCTTGAGGCTTACTGGCTTAGGTGACCAATCACCAATGTATACATACACGATTATATAAATAAAACAGGACTAACGAGCAAGGACGGACTGGCGGCTACCTTCTGGAGGCGGTCCTGGCCGGCGTCGGTGGTGGAAGGAGCAGCAGGCGCGGGGGCCGCGAGGCAGAGGACGCGGCCGCGGGGCGCGGAGTAGAGACCGCGCGGACGGGAAGGACCGCAACCGAGAGCAGGGGCTTGTCGCCGGCGTCCCGGCGCGGGGAGCAACGGCCGCGGCGCGAGGACGGCGAGGCCGGAGGCGGTGGCGGTGGCCATGAGAGGTGGAGGAGCGCTGGAGCCTGCGGGCCGCAGAGGTTTCGCTTGCCTCGCCGCGCGCTCTATCCACAGGCAGACGCAGTGGAGATTTTGGGCCCACTCCAGTAACCGTTGCAACCGACCCGAGCCCGAGTCGAGACAGCCCACCAGGACTAGCAGTCGAACGCGGGCGTCTTTTTCAACTGGAGCTTTAAATTCCACTCAAAAAAACAAAAACTGGAGCTTTAAATCTCTATATGACCATAGACGTCGCTTAATTTTAGAGGCTTTAGAATTTAGATCGACTTAATTCAATTTTCATTTGCTATCAGGCCGCCTGCCTCTTCCACATCGGCACGGCGCCCATCTATACCAGGGCGCCCGAAAGACTTGCCACCGCCTCTTCCACGACAATAGCGCGCGCCCTGTGCCTCCTCCACGCGTCAGGCCCGCGCCTGCCCGCCCTCATGGACACTAACGCTGGCGGTCTATATTTGCAACATGAAACACTTGAAATGCAACGTACTTCTGGAAGCAGATGAAACATTTGGGACATGTGCTTACAACATGCGTGTGAAACATATGCAACATCCAGATAAAATAATTGCAACACGAAAAAACACTTACTGCAACATAAAACTGAAACAGCTGAAACATTTAGAACATACTGTTGCAACATATATGTGAAACATATGCAACATCTAGATAAAAAAGGAATGCAACATACTCCTGAAAACAGATGAAACATTTTGAACAAACGCTTACAACATACTTCTGAAACACTTGAAACATATGCAACATGTGCAACATCCCCCGATCTGCTTTTGCAACATCTATAAGAAACAACTACATCATATACCACTGAAACACCTGAAACATACATTTGCAACATATGGTAGGGGAAGCCTAGGCTGGGCTGGTCGATTCCAGTCGTCGGGGTCGGAGCTGGCGGCAAGCGGCGGCGCACGAGCACCACCGCCACCAGTACCGGGCTTGGCTCGGCAACGACGATGAGGGATGGGGGCGAGGAGAACCATGACCGCCGGGTGGGGGGAGCTCGGTCGACAGGGTGAGAGAGGGCACCGCCGGGGGTGGGCTAGGCACCACATGGGAGTGGAGAGGCGCCCACTCCCATGCAACACCACCGCACCACCTCCATGGATCTCGTCGGGGTAGGGAAGACAGCCACCGGATCTACGGGCGTTGGGGGCTCCTGAAAGGTTCTTGTTTGGTTTTGGTAATTAAGTGACAACCTAGGTGAACTAATTATGTTTAATATGAGATACACAGGTGATTAGTCCACAGGTACAGGTGTGTGAGCAACATATGCCATAGAGGTGAAATGGCTTGGAGATGTTGCCAAGCTTACACATGTGATGAAGTAGCTTATTGCATATGAGACATGACATTGAGTCATGTGACTAAGGTGGAGAAGATTGAGACAAGACTTGGCTTGATGGACCGGTTGCAAGCGTGAAGGGCAAGTTGGAGGCTTTGGAGCGATAGACCGCGTGGCAATGAAGCTTGAGCAAGACTTGGCGCCGTTGGATGAAGGCAACGGTGAAAAGCAAGTGAGGTCAAGATCGATGAACCAACAAGGTCACGTGATGATATGAAGTGGATCATATCATTTGGTGATTGGTTGGTGCATGTGTTGCATCAACGATGGAGGAGACGAAATGAAATGCGCAAGGCAAAGGTATAACCTAGGATATTTCATTTCACCGGTCATAGGTGTGTAGAGAAGTTGATGACCGGGTTTAGGATAGATAGTCATACTATTAAGAGGAGCAAACTTGTTTGCATATCGGTCATCTAAGTGCCACTTGAGCGATCTAACCTTGCATACGTGTTAGGATCAAGTGGCGTGGTGAATTGAGTGACTAATCCTTTGAGAAATGTTTGTGAAAAGCTAACACACGTGCACAAGTTGGTGATCACTTGGAGGTGTTAGCACTTTTGCAAGGGTGAAGAAGTTGGTGAAGAAAAGAAGATGAAACTAGGCTCGGGGTGCTACCTGGGTGGCATCGCCACCCCTATGGCGGTGCCTGACTGGTCTTGACCGAGGAGTGTCGGGGCTGGCACTATCGTGCCTTGTCCGGTGGCACCGCCACCCCTAGGGTGGTGCCCACCTAGCCCCAATTTAGAGCAGCATCAGTGGAGGTGGTCACCGCTGCTAATGGTGTACACCGCCATGTGCAGGGCAGTGCACCGCCGAGTGCTGTTCGGTGCCACCGCCATGTTTTTCCTAAGGCTTGCTGTTTTGGTGGTAGAGCGAGGGGGTCACCGCCATGGTGACGGCGGTGCACCGCCCTAAAATTCCAGAGAGTGGGGACTTCGTGAGGTTGGCCTGGGTGGTCAACGCCACCCCTGTCCGGTGACCAACGGCTAGAATTCGACCGTTTGGAGGGACACCACCGTGTCCGGTGCCAGGCACCGCCGTGTTTGGTGCCCTCACAGAAACCAGCAGCTTTCCTCCAACAGCTCTATTTGGCTTGGGGGCTATGAATAGAGGTGGAGCTCGGGCTTGGCTGAGGTTGAGCACCTTAGGGATGTGTTGCCCTTGTGTGTGCTTGGTTTGAGAAGCCTCTAACTCACTTGTGTTTGCAAGAAGTGTGAATCCATTACGAGTGAGTGATACTAGTGCGTTGTATCATGAGGTTGCATCGAGTGGCACTAGGTGATCGAGTTACAAGCCAGTAGTGCTTGTTACTCTTGGAGGTTGCCACCTCCGAGATGGCTTGGTGGTGGTCTCCATTGAAGCACGCAAAGAAGATTGTACGGTGCTCTAGAGAAGTGATTGTGTCGGGTATCGATATTAGGGATACCCAAAGCAAGGAAGTTAACGCCCACGCTGACTTCCCCAGATGGCTCGAGATGTATTAAAAGGTTTCGCCTGACCCTAAGGCCGTAGGCTCCATCTTGCCCGACCTCAAGGCCACGGGCTCTATCTCGCCCGACCCCTTGGGTGCGGGCTCCGTCTCACCCGACCCCAAGGATGCGGGTTTCATCTCGCCCAAGGCCACATGCTTCGTCTCACCTGACCTCGAGGCCGCTGGCTCCGTCTTGCCCGACCTCGAGGCCGCGGGCTCCATCTCGCCCGACCCCTTGGGTGTGGGCTCTGTTTCGCCTGACCCCAAGGATGCGGTTTCTGTCTCACCCAAGGTCGTGGGCTCCGTCTCATCCGACCTCGAGGACGCAGGTTCTGTCTCATCCGACGGGGACCCATACCGCCGCCAACCACTCCAGGTCCAAGCGTATAGGCTTGGGTCAAAACTCTGATGCCAGGGAAGAGGCTGGCATGCCTCGATGTAACCCATGGCCATGATGGGCCATAGCTAGGGATTCACATCAAGAACGATGTCGGGCGTGCCAGTGCTGTTCTGCCTAATCCTCGTACGGACGCTGACAGACGCATCAGTTCACCACGACATCCGCCGGGACAGAGTGGAACGCCATGACCGGCAGATGATGCCTGCGCATGGAGCCAGTGACAAACAGGGCTGTAACATGGAGCCGTCCCTGTTGATATCTACAGGATTGGTGGGACCCGCATGAAGGAGAAGAAGGACCCGGCTACCCTGGAAGCCTTCTTTTCTCTCTCGTTCTTCTTATTTTCCTCCTCTGTAACCCGTGCTTTCTCTTCACCTATAAAAGGGGAAGCTTGGTGCCCCATGAAAGGTGGGATCTAGAACACGAGCATGACACACGCACAGGGCTGAGCGGCAAGCGAGCTCTCAGCACCCGTTCACTCCTTCTACTAGAGACTTAGGATCCACTCCCTCTCTCGCCTGTTTATAACCCCTACTACAAACTAAGTGCTGGTAACACAAGCAGCAGCGAACTAGACGTAGGGACGTTCCGCCCAAACCAGTATAAGCCCTTGTGTCCTTCGAGCACACCATCCGAGCCAGACGCGCAAATACAAATTTACTCGTCGGTGGTCCGAAAACACTGACGATTGGCGCGCCAGGTAGGGGCGTTTTGCGTGTCTTGACGTCCACATCAGGCCTCGGATGGCTAGTCACGGCGTCAGCTGGGTCCCAGGTGCGCACGTGCACTTTGGGAACCTAGACTTCATCATTACGACAGAGGGAGAGTTGGCGTAGGTTCCCACCACCGTCCAGCCTCTCCACTCCACCGGCCTCGACGCGATCGCCGAGGCGCTTGAGGAGCTGTAGCTGCATGCACCGGAGGCCCACGCCCCTAGGAGCGACCAGCTCCTCAGCTTCGATTACGGGAGGCTAGAGCGCTAGCTCGGCGCCTTCCTGGGACCCCGACTATCTCGAGAGGACCTGCACCACCTCACCTTCTTGTTCGCCAACGTCATGACGCAGCTTGCTAGAGGAGAGTCATTCTCCCCAGAATACCTCATCCAGAGTGCCCCGATAGCGCTCCCATTCGGTCTGCGCAACACCGCGGAGACCATTGGCCACCTTGTGGCGCAGCGTATGCCCCCATCCCCTATGAACAACGAGTTCGTGGGGATTACCAAATACGTCGCGGAATCTTTCCACGACCTTCTCGCGGGAGAATCAGAGTCGTCCTCTGACTCTGACTCTGACTCCAGCAGGGGGCGCCATCACCCCTCGCGAGAATGTTTCATGGCAGGTAGCTCCGAGGGATACATCAAAAGCATCCATGAGGGAGGGCTACCCCAACAATGACCTCGACAATGGGGTCGAGGGGGATGCAAGGCCCCCACCTTGCCTGCGGGTAGAGCAGCTGAGGGCGCAGCACCAAGAGCTCAAAGAAGCACGACTCCAGCTCAAGTAGGAACAAGCGGAGCTCGAGCGAGAGATCGAGCGCCACGGAGACGGTGGGCGTGCACATGTTGTGGCCCGCGATGTGAATCGGAGGATCATCGAGGACAACGAAGCCCTCCCATACTTCACTCGGGCAAGCCAGAACATCGTTGCCATGGTGGCCTTGCTCTAGGGGCTTCCAGAGCCCGCGACACCTGAGGATCGTTAGGCCCATCACGAGATTCGTACACTACTCGAGCGTGCGGTGGCACAGTA